CAAAGTCTCATTTAGCAGCTTCTCCCCTGCTCTTGTGGATAAATCCATGAGCAGGGAATGCCAACAGCTGCCCTGACTGGCCCTGCTCATTCCCAAAGGGGGATAAGAAAGACCTTCCACACATTGGCTGCAAATTCCAGAGCCTGGTGAAGGGTCAAGGCTTCCAACAGCTCATGATAAAACAGTCAATCTGTTCCAGCAATGAGATTTAGAATTATCCACAGGGGAGCAATCCTTAATAACATGTGATTCTGAAAATATCTATTACCAATTAACTATTTCTCACAGAGGTTGGAGGCACCTCTGGGGATCATCCCATTCAACCCCCTGCTCAGGGCATGGCACATGAAAGCAGCTTTGCAGGGCCAGGGACAACTGGATTTTGGAATCTCCAAGGACAGAGACTCCCCCCCAGCCTCTCTGGGCAACCTGTGCCAGTGTTTGACTGCCCTCAGAATTAAAAAAAATGTTTATTTCTCTGTTTAAATAGAAACGATTCTTTTTCAGTTTGTGCTCATTGCACTGAAATCTTAAAGATTTCATCACTCATTAGGTTTTCCTTTTCATGATCCTCACAGGAACAATATCAGGGACAGATTTCCCCTCTGGCCAACCAAATGGTTTCTGTATTTGCTGACTTCATCATTTATTTCACGTGTTTCGCTTGATTTTGTCATTCTGAGGGGTTAAAATTTCGAATTAAGCAATCAAACACGTGGTTGATGGTATTAATTCACTATTTTTTCTGTCAGTTTGCTCCTTAAAGACAGAATAAAATGTAATTTTATACTGGATGGGGCTCTGAATAACCAGTTCTAGTGGAAAGAGGTGGAACAAGATGGGCTTTAAGGTTCCTTCCAGGGGGACCCTTCCTTTTCAACAGGAAAAAGGTGATCTCAGCAAAAAATGCTTACAACAGATATTACTGAAAAGGTAATCCAGGAAAAATACCCCAAATCCCACCCAAAATTGTGTGGTTTTTTTCTTATACTTTATCCCAACCCTTTACTTTACAACCCAAATACTTTGTCAGGTGTTCCAGAAACACTCTTGGCCCCTTTATGTTCTCAATTTGCTCTTCATGGTCATATACAAGAAACAGGTTGGTATGACCAGAATGCAACCAGAATATGACCAGAGCTTGACCAGAGTACAACCAGAATGTGACCACAACATGATCAGAGTGCAACCAGAATACAACCAGAATTTTACCAGAATATGACCAGAATTTAACTAGAATTTGACCAGAATTCAATCAGAATACAACCAGAGTTTGACCAGAATTCAACCAGATCGTGACCAGAATGCAATAAAAATATGACCAGAATACAACCAGAATTTGACCAGAATGCAACTAGAATTGGACAAGAATATGACCAGAATTTAACCAGAATGCAATGAGAATATGACCAGAATTTAACCAGAATGCAATGAGAATATGACCAGAATGTGACCAGAATGTGACCAGAATTCGGCCAGAATGTGACCAGAATTTCACTAGAATATGACTAGAATTTTACCAGAATTTAACCAAAATGTGACCAGATGCAACCATAATCCAACCAGAATTTAACCAGAAGGTACCCAGAGTACAACAAAAATATGACAAGAATTTAACCAGAATATGACCAGAATTCAACCAGAATGTGTCCAGAATGCAACAAGAATATGACCAGAATACAACCAGAATATGACCAAAATTTAACCAAAATGTGACCAGAATTTAAGCAGATTGTGACCAGAATTAACCCAAAATATGACCAGAATTCAACCATAATCCAACCCGAATTTGACCAGAATGTACCCAGAGTACAACAAAAATATGACCAGAATTCAACCAGAATGTGACCAGAATTCAACCAGAATGTGACCAGAATTCAACCAGAATGTGACCAGAACTTAACCTAAATGTGACCAACATTTAACGAGAATGTGACCAGAATTCAACCAGAATGTGACCAGAATTCAACCAGAATGTGACCAGAATTTAACCAGAATGTGACCAGAATTTTAGCAGAATTTAACCAAAATATGACCGGAATGCAACCATAATACATCCAGAATTTAACCACAATTTGACAAAAATGTACCCAGAGTACAACAAAAATGTGACCAGAATTTAACCAGAATACGACTAGAAGGAGACCAGAATTCAACCAGAATGAGACCACAATATGACCAGAATTTAACCAAAATATGACCAAAATTTAACCAGAATTGCACCAGAATATGCCCATATGAAGTAGTTCATATATTTTCCCTGAGCATTTGGGCTCAATCACTTCTCCCAATAAACCCCCAGCTCCTGCTACAACCCAGAGCCAGGAGAATTCCCACCTGGGGCCGCATCCACCTTCTCCTGACACCAAAAATAACCCCAAGTGAACTTGTCTGCTCCGTTTAAAATCCCAGCTCGGCCCGGGGGCAGGAGGAGCTTTGACAAAACCACCACCAGACCGTGCTGGGAGGATGAGTTTGAAATTTGAAATGAGTTTGCCCTTGGAATTTAGATAAAAACACATCCAGTCGGGTCAGCTCGACCCTGGAAAAGCTCTTGACGCACCGAGCGCCCCGCGGGGATTTCGAGGACTTGGGAAAAAAATTGGTTGTCTGAGATTTTTAATATTTTTTTATATTTTTTGCTGTCAGACCACGGGAAGAAATTACAGTTGCGTGTTGGAAGAGCTGGGGCTAAAAATAGACTTAGAGATATCCCTTGAAAACATGGATTTCTATGGTTTGGGAGCAAATTGTTCCTGACTTGTACAAAGGAGGATGTGCTGCTGCATCACACACGTGAGGAACGGTGCTGCTGCCTCCCCCATCCCGAATTTAGGCAGGAATGACTCAAAACGCTCCTTTGCAGCAAGAAAAATCCTTGCTAATATTAAGTTTTGGCTTTTCAGGCTCTAAAATTCCCTGCTCAAAACCTCAGTCGTGCAGGGAATTATTCCAAGATATAAGAGGGGCTCCTGTGGGATCCTGATCGGTGGAAATTGGAATTTTGTAATAATTTAGAAATTGGAATTTTGCAATAATTTGGAATATTCCCTGCTCGAAATCTCATTTATGCAGGAAACACTTCCCAGATATAAGAGGGGCTCCTGTGAGTTCCTGATCAGTGGAAATTGGGATTTTGCAATAATTTGGAAAATTCCCTGTTTAAAACCTCATTCATGCAGGAAACTCTTCCCAGATATAAGAGGGGCTCCTATGGGTTCATGATCAGTGGGAATTGTAATTTTGTAATAATTTGGAAATTGGAATTTTCCATATTATTGCAAAATTCCCTGTTTAAAACCTCAGTCAGGCAGGAAACTCTTCCCAGCTGTCAGAGGGGCTCCTCTGAGTTCCTGATCAGTGGAAATTGGAATTTTGCAATAATTTGGAATATTCCCTTTTTAAAACCTCATTTATGCAGAAAACTCTTCCCAGATATAAGAGGGGTTCCTGGGGGTTCCTGTGAGTTCCTGATCAGTGGAAATTGGAATTTTGCTGTCAGAGGGGCTCCTGTGAGTTCCTAATCACCCGGAATTGGAATTTTGCACCAATTTGGATGCTCTCAGGCCCCTCATTTAGGTTGTAACCGGCCCTGGAAGGTGCCGGGAGTCCTCCCCTGCTTTTCCTTCACCCCAGAGGCCACTTTTCCTGCCGTTTTTCCCCCAAAAGCCTCTCCCCCAGAGGTCCCCCTGGCTTTCTCTCACCTATGTGCTGTCCATACATGTGATAGTAGAAGCTGAAGCAATAGGCCGTGTTGGTGGCTCCGTAGGGATTTTTGGGAGCGACGCTGAACACGGGACTGACCAGCCTGGCCTTCTCCCCCTCCAGCCTGGGCCGGGACGTCTCGATGTACATGTAGAAACCTGGGAAAATCCAAATGGGAATCGTTAGGTCGGGATCTTCCACACCCTTCAAACACAAGACATGGCAGGATTTGACTAATTAATCCAGCGGCTCGATTGACTTTTCCCGTTTTTCTGCCATCCCGTGGATTCTGGGCCGTGTTTCTTCATATTAAGCTCATGTGTTTTCTGCAACTGCTTCAAAATCCTGTTTTCCATGGAAACTGAAAGCCAAACCGGCAGGTCCAGTCCTGGAAAATAGCTCCAAGTCCTGGAAAACAGCTCCAAGTCCATGTAACGTGTTAATGCACGAGCGAAGAAAAAGATCTTTATGAGGGGGTTCAGCCTTCAGGGTCCAGGTGGTAATTTGTCCCTGTAAACAGGGGGTGGGGGTGATTTGTAAGATAAAGGGAAAATATCTCAATGGAAACCTTTCAAGGAATATTTCTCACTGGCCATGTCAGTCACAAAGAAGAAAATATTCATTTATTGCGTTCCCAGACCGTGCAAACCACAGAGGTTTTATTTATTTAACCCAACCAGGTGAATATGATGCAGGAAGGGGTTTTTTTTCCTGTTTGGTTGTGCAAACAGGGGCCTAAAATAACCTGAGTTACTGCAGGATTTGAAAAATTCAGCACGAGGTGTCTGCCTTTTCAATGTAAACACACAGTGCAGCGGAAAACCACGTTAATGGGGGAGCAGATGGAAAACTGCACATTTTAACAACACCCAGAGCAAAAACGGGGCCAAAAATCACCTGGTTGTGACAGGCTGAGGGAGTCCAAGTCGGGATTTAAATGACATAAAGCAGAAGAATATTTGCAGATGAGCCAGGAGGTTTCCCCAGCAGGATATAACGGGAAAGGATTCACTTGGAAAATGGCACAACAGAAAGGAGGCAAGATGGTTGATGGCAACATTCTGGTATTGTTACTCTTGGTATGACCTTAGAGCACCTTCCAGTACCTAAAAGGGGCTCCAGGAGACCTGGAGAAGGACGTGGGACAAGGAGGGACAGGAGGAGGGGAATGGCTGTAAATTAAAGGAGGGCAGGACTAGATGGGATATTGGGAAGGAGTTCTTGGCTGTGAAGGTGGTGAGGGGCTGGGATGGAATTCCCAGGAAGCTGTGGTTGCCTCTGGATCCCTGGAAGTGTCCAAGGCCAGGTTGGAGCAACCTGGGCTAGTGGGAGGTGTCTGGGGTTGGAACAATATGGACTTTAAGGTCCCTTCCAACCCAACCCATTCTTCAATTCTATAATAAAATAAATTTATCTGGATTTAAAAGTATCACCAACTTTTAGCCAGACACAGAACTAGCTATAAAATAACACAACCCAGGGATGCTCAGGCAGCATATGACTAGAGAGGGCTGAAATGAGATGGGTTTTGAATGAGGTTAAAGAAAAAAAAATATAAAATAAATATTCAGGCCAGATGGGAAGAAAAAAAAAAAAAGGAAGTCAAAGTTTGCCATTTATTTAACAGGCAAACACTGGTTTCACGTGGAATACATTGGAAAAGGTTAGTGCTGAATGTTCTTGGCACTAAAACATGACAGGAGAATAAAAATGGGGAAGAGGTCCTCAGGTTTAACCCAACACTTTTCTTATGCAAGAAACATTTCAATGGATCTGGATGGTGTTGAGCTGTTAATTAATGGGCAGGAAGAAGAGCCCTCCCAACCCAAACCATTCTTTGAGTCTATAATAAAGTACTTTTAAACCCAGATAAACTTATCACCAACTTTTAGCCAGACACAGAACAATCTATAAAACAACACAACCCAAGGATGCTCAGGCAACAGCTGCCCAGAGAGGGCTGGAACGAGATGGGCTTTGAGGTCCCTTCCAACCCAAAGCATTCCATGATTCCATGACCAGGAAGTGACTGAACTGGCCATCCTGCTCCCGGTGCCAGCCCAGTAGGAGCACCAGGATCTCACCCACCTTCCTTGGAGCCCGTCCTGTCTGCGTTGGGCCCCGTGTTTGGGGTGTACTTGGTGTCCCTCGTGGCAGTGCTTTGTTTAGTCCAGTCAAAGTTATCCGTGTCATCTTGGGTGAAAAGGCAAATATTCCCATCCTCGAAGCCACAGTGGAACTCTCCTGCCAACACAGCGAAGGGCAGAAATTCAGTGGCCAAACCTGCTCCTCCAACCCTTGTTTTTCAAAGTGTTAATTATAATGTTAATTATAATGTTAATTATACACGTTGGGATGATGCTCAATAACAGCAAATAGGAGTATTTGTGAATATAAATATACATATTTTTATTTTCCGCCGGTTTCTAGTGTTTAATGTCATTTTTTTTCACAGCAACCTCAACAAAACAGAAATCAAACAGAATATCCTCAATCTGTGCTGGTGCTGCTTGAAATCACATTTAAATCTTATTGCACAGCTCGTCCTCTCTCATATTCAGGTTTGTACATTTAGGGTAAACATTTACACATTTACATATTTATACGATTTTATATGCAAATTTATATATTTATTCAGTTTTAGACACAAATGTACATATTTATACGTTTTAGAGGTGTCGTTTCTTCCTACCCGGATTGCATTCCTAAAAAGCTGGGAAGAACAGGCACCACGTCCATAAAACATGAACCACGGGGGGGAAAAGTGGGAGGTGGATTATTTTTGTTTAGGGATAAGAAGATCAAAATCTAAATGTTATCTCCAAGTGGCATCTCCTAAATTATCCTTAATTTCAAGAGGGTTGGGAAAGGAATTGGGGTGAAAATGAGAGCAAAGGAGCTTTAGGGCTGATGTGAGGAACATCCCTAAAAATCAGGACATGGATGGATTGCTCAGGAAGAGCACTGGGATCCCATCACTGGATTATATTAATCAAGTAGAGGAATACCTGGAAAAAAGGTTTAGTTCTTATCTGCACACATATGGGCAGGACAGGGGACTGTATCCTGTCCTGAAGACACCTCCTGGACTTCTATCAGGAATTCTGGGGTGGATTCGAGGTCAGGGGGTAAAAGTGTAAGTCAAAGAATTAAAAATTGCCAAGAACCTCAAAAAGGATCACTGGGATCCTTCTCCTGCAGGGAACAGAGGATCCAG